TTGTGGATGTCTTAGTGGTCATCAGAAACAATTCTGCCCTCTCTCCACTGTTATCCCTTGTCCTTGAATTGGACAAATATCTCTTAACTTTGCCTCTCCCTGAGACAAGTCATCTTCTGAGAAGCAGCTTAGTCCTGCAGGTAATTGGATCCTGGGGCAGCGATGGTACCTCCCTGCCTCACGGGTCCTCCAGTCTGGTTCCAACATGTCTGGACCCAGCTTAAGCTATGTTATCTGATACACAAAGGTGGTAACGCATTGGAATCAAAATGACACAAGCGCTTTGCTCTTTCTTTGCTGCTGTCTTCTAGAACAGTGCAGGGACCTTGCTCAGCTCCACTTCACATGGGAGTTATTGCTGATTTGATCACTGTACAAAAATGAGGTTATACAAGCCCAGCTCTTTGTGAACCCGTGGACTGTAGTCCACCAGGCTCCTCTGTCCATAGCATTATCCCAGCAAGAGTACTTGAGTGGGTTTCCAGTTTCTTCTCCAGGAGATATTCCCAACCCAGGATCAAACCCAAGTCTCCCACATTGCAGGGAGATTCCTTACCATCTGAGACACCAGGGAAGCCCATACCAATTTGAAAGCCTTTGCCATCTAAAAACTTTTTCTCCATAAACATCAATACACTAGAGAGAAATCTCCACAGTGAAAACCCTTTTTTAATTTTTAAAAATTAAGTCACAGGTTGCATACAGGGGCAATAAATTACCCCTTACTGTGTGCCAGAAATTATACCAATTCTATGTCTTACTAAATCCTCACAACAGCCTGAAGAGGGCTTTATAATCCCCATTTATAGACGAACAGTGGAGATTCAGTGAGTGAGTGGCTTGTGTGTAAAGGGCTGAGTCAAAATTCAAATTAAGGTTTTTTCTAACCTACAGCATCCTTTGCTTAGTGTTGCCTCTGCGGAGAGATTTTTTTTTCCTTAAAGCACCCCCAAAGCACACAAAACAGCCTCCTTCTCTGTGTCTTACCACTGGGACCTCATAAAACAACATATTCCCACCATAGTCTGAGACTTTGCAAAATGCACATATAACTAACTGGGAAAATATAATGTTTGAACCATCCCGGTAGAGAGAACCTCAAAGCAATAAGCCCATGGCAAATGCCATCTGATCGCCCAGCCCAAGGCTCAGCCTAAAACGTTCTGCAGGGTGTTACTCTAAAGATAACCCAAAAGGTCTCATAGCTTCCTGGTTGTTAAAACAACAACTACAGTAGCAGGAATTGAGACCTAAAGATCAGCGGAGTAGAAATGAGGAAGGAAATGGCATGTTAAATGACTATTTTTCCCCAACTGGCCCTATTCTTTCTAGATATAGTCCCAGAACTCGCATAGTTACAGTGGGAGAATTTGATCCATCAAAGGCTGAAAGTTCTCTACCAAGGTTCAGGCTGTTCAAAACTTGGAGTACTTCGAAGTTTCGGGTATAGTAGAATTCCTAGGAAATTTATGCCTCTATCTCTGTTAGGCTGGTTTGACACAAATACCCTTTTAGGAGGCCCTTCACAAGCCACCGTGTAAATTCTCCTAGGCCAGCAATAAAGTGTGTCCTCGGAGTCTTCTGCCCTCCGAGGATCTCATTTTAATTCCTGCCTCTTTTTGTCCCTTTCTGGTTTCATTAGATTCATTGTCACTTTGGTTCTTTTCTTCTTCTTCTTTTTTTTTTATTGGCTTATGATTGTTCTCAATGTTTTTAGTTTCTACGGTACAGCAAAATAAATCAACTATACATGTATATATATACATATATCCCCTCTTTTTTGGATCTTTCTCCCTCTCTCTTCCCATTTTTCTACTTCAGTTCAAAGTAGTTCCCCATTTCCTCACTTCTGAAATTACTCCCTGGAAGGCAAATCCAGTGATTTCCCATCTCCTTTTCCAGGCACACAGGGTGCTCCTTAGCCGAATAAGATCCCCACCGCACCCACCCTGAGAGCCCTGGCAATTTCAGGCTTTTGGGTTGTAGCAAGAGTAAAGGTTTAGTTTGATGTGGTTAAGCCAGTCATCACGGTGTCTTCAGACTCTCAGCCCTAAACCACTCTGGGGTACATCACCCTCACTTTCCATTTCTCTGGATTATCTTTCATCTGTTCACCACTAACCCTCACAGCCTCAACCAAGGCTGAAGCAGGGGCCAGCAGGGTGGTACGCTTCCTTTCTTGGTTGAAATACTAACTGCTGTGGCTAAAGCCATTCCCTTTCGGACTCATTACAGGGAACAAGAAAAAGAGAAAGCAAGAGTGAGTGCTGCAAAGACTGCTGTTACATGGTTTCCCTTAAGCCCCAGAAATAGAAAGCCAGACTTCCGACTTGCAGAGCCTCTGTGCAAACCACCAGACCACACTGCCAGATAAGAAAAATGTTTGATTGTGTCATATTTCCTTCATCAGTGCTAGTTTCTGAAAATGGCCCTGAGTTTCTGAGAGCCTGGCCATGATCCTAAGATTAAGAGAAGATGAAAGAGAGAAGGGATCAGATCTCTTTCTTTTCAGGTGTAAGTTTATTTTCAACCACAGAATTAAAGGAAAGGAAAGATTATGAGAGATTAGTCGTGAGCTAACTTTATTTGCAAAAGAAATTTTTTACTTGCAAGAGAAATGAATTGGACATCAACAGGCATTGAGAAAGGGAGCCTGCTAGTTTGAAAAATGTGTCCTTGGTCTTTTCAATTCCCCTGTGTTTATTTATTGAGTGCCTACTCTATGCCAAGGGCTGTGCTTATTGCTGCAGATCCAAAGAGGATGAGGCATCTGTTCACAGAACAAGGAGACTGGACTAGATTCAGATTCACCTAGATTCCAACTCATGTACTCAGCATCACCTCCACCACCAAAATAATTTTACTCCACTCTCCCAGAGCAGCCTTGGTGAGCACCTGTGTTGTCAGCTGCTGCAGAAAGAGTGGGGCCCAGGTATTTGACAAGCTCCTAATTGGATGGTAGGAGGTACCGTCACCTATAAAAGGTTATCTTTGGACCAGACTGGGCTGCTTATGCTCAGAAGAGACTTGGAGGGTGAGGCCTGGTGAGCTGTCAACATGGGGTAGGGCCTGGCCCAGCAGACAGATGACAAAGTTTGGGGAGGCAGATGACTCTCGTGGCTCTTGTGGGGAAGTAGCCATTTCAGGGATGAAACAGCATGGAAACAAGACCTCAGAAGCTGGTGAGCTCACTGGGGCACAAAGAAAGGAGAGCCTGATGTGGCCCCAAAGCCCAGGACCAAAGAGACTGGGTTTGGAGAGCTGCTGATAGGAGCCTTGTGGTGAAGACAAAGGGAGGCAAGGGGACTTCCTTGGTGGCCCAGTGACTTAAACTCCATGTGCCCAATGCAGGGAGCCCGGGTTCAATCCCTGGTCAGGGAACTAGATCTTACATGCCACAAATAGACCCCTGGTGTCCCAACTAAGATCCAGCACAGCTAAAAAAAAAAAAAAAGATAAAGGAGAGGTAGGAGTCAGGAGTCTCTTTTATCAATATACAGCCAATACAAACAGCTATTTATGAGTTACTTCTGTTTGCCTATCCTTGATGGCTCAGCTAGTAAAGAATCTGCCTGCAATGAGAGAGACCTGGGTTTGATCCCTGGGTCAGGAAGATCCCCTGGAAAAGGCAATGGCAACCCACTTCAGTATTCTTGCCTGGAGAATCTCATGAACAGAGGAGCTTGGTGTACTATAGTCCATGGGGTTGCAAAGAGTCAGACAAGACTGAGCAACTGAGTGCATACAGACACACACACACACATGTGCCAGGCCCCGAGGGGTTCAAAGGAAGAGCCAAGTTAGAATTTCATATCTAATGAAGAGCTGATCAAATCCATACACTGAAATTACTGCTGGCTGAAACAGTCCTGCATGGGTCTTGCAGTATTGGCACTCACACAAGCTCTTTCTCCTTGCCTTATCTCGTTTAATCCACCCGACAGCCTTGCAAGGTGGGGACCGTTGTCCCTGTTTCAGAAATGAGGGTGCTGAGGTTCTGAGAGACCATGTACCTTATCTGAATTGGCCCAGCTAGTAAGTGGCTGAGCCAGACTTCAGATCTAAGCCCGTGTTGAGCCTCTGAACTTTCTAGTATAGCCTGCAGCATCCCTGTACTAGAATAATACCGTGCTCCATTGAGCGAGTGTGCTTAGATGTTCAGCTATGTCTGACTCTGAGGGAAAAGTAAATACCAGCCGGCGGTGCAGGGAGAAGAGCAACAGGAGGAGCCCTAGGAGGGGGAGGGTGCTAGGCAGGCACGGGGTCAAGGATGGCTTCTTGGAATCAGAGGGTCTGTTGGAGCTGGTTCAAAGCTGTAATCCTGAGTCTTCTCCAGTTTCTGAGGCAGAGAAGGAGGGTCTGAATTAGGATGTGAGCCATCAGGCACTTGCTGTCTGTAGCGGCCCTGCCCTGAAGACACAGGGGTGTCATGCAGAGCACCCGTGGTGTGAGAGCTCACGGCGGGAACCACGCTCCATCCGGTCAGACAGACACCCAGGCGGCCCACAGGCCCAGCCTCTGAGCCGTGGGCTTGCACCCCCGTTGCAGAAGAACCACTGGCCCCAAGCAGAAGTGACAAGCAAGTACCCCCTGAGCCCCAGGCCGTGGAGGGGGCCTGGCTGTCCACCAGGGCCTACGGGTATCCTGGCAGAGACAGGAGGTAGCATAGGCCCCAGGCGCTCGGGTGCCAGAGCCTCCCGAGAAGGAACAGGTGCGAAGCAGGGCAATTAGCTGGGAAGGCGTCTGGGGGGCAGGCAGCCCAGAGCTGATTGGGGAAGTCACCAGGATTACATCATCGGCCGGCAAGTAGGCTTGATTAACTCTCCGATGGGCGCAGTATCGAGAGGGAACGGTTTCTTTCTTCTTCCAGGAGCCAGAAAAGGGATCATTAGATTTGTCTTATAAAATAAAACTGTTCCGTAGCAGGGACGAGCCTTTAAGCTTCTCTGGTGTATTTGGTACCCTGGCTTCTCTCTGGGAGGAAGGAAGAGCATCTATTCATGGGCTGTGACTTAGAGAGGCCCCACGGTGAGTCAGGCATTCTCTGTGTGTGTGCGTGCCCCGTGGTTGCACACGTCGTGGGGGACCTGCTAATTTACTCATGTAATGTGTTCCTCTAGACCAGCCACAAAGACCACTCAGTTATTTTGATCCAAGAGAGAGGCTGGTGTTTACCACAAACTCCCCAGCAACCCTGTGTGTGTTTGTGTGTGTGTGTGTGTGTGTGTGTGTGTGTTTGCACAACAACCTCATACAATGAAGAGTTGCCCTGGCTGGCAATCACAAACATTCCAACTCTGAATTGAGGGCAGAGATCGTCCTGGAGTGACCTCCACGGGCATGATGACTTCTATGTCTTCTAAAAATCCAAGGGCATGGAGAGAGTGGTCACGTGTTCCTGCCACCACAGGGGACCTGAAGGGGAGCAAACATTTGAGAACATCTACTACTTGCCAGGCACGGGGCTCAGGTTTTACATATCTTATTGTGTTGGTTTCTCTCAACTCCCCTTTGAAGCAGGTATTACGCTTTCACTATTCCAGATTCTTGCCACACTGTTTCTGCTTCGAGGATACTCATACGTCCTTAGAGGCCCTCTGAAAAATCCTGTAAAACCTTTTCTGACTTCATCACAGTTAGTACGCTCTCCTTTTGCTCCCAGAAAATCATAGACTTTAGGGAGATGGCAGCTTCAGTTTCTTCCTCTGTAATATTGGGGTAGCCATAGGGTCATTGTGAGGAATATGTGAGATAAATCACATAAGTGCTTTGACAGCAGTTGGCACTTAGCCCTTGCCAGTCGTTGCTGTTATTAATAATAGTAACAATAATACCACATACAATTACGTACCCCTTGTAAGTTCCTTGAGTATAGAGGTATTAACTACTTGGTTCACTGTTTTATCCTCAGAGTCTAGCGGTGTTTGGCGCATGGGAGGCACTTGTTTTCTAGCTGGTGAATGAATCAGAGTGAAAGCTTTGCCACCTCTTGCTTCTGTATGCGCCTGAGAATGGACCCTTGCCTAACCCACCTCTGTATCTGTAATATCACCACTTCATCTGGTACAACCCACGTGTTCAGTGACTCTACTGAGCAGATGAACAGGACCATGAGATGCTGCTGCTCAGCCAGTGCCTGGCTAAGGGAGCCCGGCAGCATGCCCATTTGATGCTGTGTGGGGGCTCGGGGATGCCTCCCGCTCCCTGAATTCCGTAAGTGTGCCCTTGACACACCACCCCTGCAAGGTGAGCTCCTCAAGGTGGGGACTGCGTCTTGTTTACTTTTAAATCCTTAGCGTCCAGCACTGTGCCTGGCACGGCATGCTCAGATGGGTATCCAAGGACTCTCCTATCCTCCCGGACTCCAAGGAGCACGGAGTCAAGTGGATTTGTCATCTCTCCTCCGTCACCACCTAACCCTCTTCTGTCGAGGTTCCCATTTCAGTTTATTAAAGACCCTTTTTCTCAGTTACAATGGTCTAAGTTTCCTCCGGAGTATTGTACCCTATAGGAAGAGCAGTCTCTGTAATCAGGCTTTTCCGGACTCAAATCTTGACTCTGGCAACCACTAGCTGTCTTATCTGGACAAGTTGCTTACCTTTGGGCATCAATTTCTCCTTTCATCAAATGAGGCAATAATACACTCTATTCACCTATTCACCTTAGGGCGCCTAAGACATGGCGGGACCTGTTCTAGGCCCCGGAGATACATATATGTGATCAAAACAAACACTGCTTTTGCCTGAATGGTACCTGCAAACTAGAGAGGGAGAGACCGACACTAAACAAATAAGCCGGTAAACAGATAGGGGTTGGATGGTGCATCTGCTGTGGGGAAAGGAAGTGGGCAGTCAGGGTTACCAGTGTCTTCTTCTGGGGACGAAGGGAGGCCTTTCTAATAAGGAGAACCTGTATCTGGAGAATAAATTCCAGGGAGAGGAAAACAGCAAAGACACCGCCTGCCTCTCCCACCCCAGTCCAGCCCCAGTGCAATCCAGTCACATCCCTTCTCCTGCTCAAAATTCTGCAAAGGACTAATGGCTCATTAAATTCATATTCTTAGAGACTGACATTCAAAACCACCTCCAATATGAGGCTACATTCACCTTTTCTAGCCATATTCTACTGCTCTCCCAGAAATATTTAATCCTAGGGGAGACAGCTGGGTGCACTTTGTCAGTCTCAGCAGTATGACTGAGGAAAAATGCCTAACCACACTCCCATTGACGAACAGATTGAGATGGGCCCTTACCCCAGATTCCCTGGGCCGCTCGCACGTTCCAGTCGTGGTGGGCAGGACCCCTGTCTATTCCTGGTTCACCCCTCCCATGTGCTACCATGGACTTGGCGATAATGCATCTTTTTTTTTTTTTAATAATAAGCATCTCTTAATTTGCTGACGCCATTACAAACACCGGTTACATTAGCAACAAAAAGTGTTTTCTTGAGTTGAAGTCAGAGGCAGTTACTCCCTAAAATGTTAAGTAAAACAGTGTACAATGTCAGTATGAAAATGTTAAATTTTACATTGTCTTTACCACTTTTGATCTTCTGAACGATTTTATTGAGCAAGAAAAGATAAAAGATTACATGTTTATTTTATCTTCAGGAATGTAAAGGTCTGATTATTCAAACAGTTTTTGTTATAAAACTAAACTCTGAAGATGTCTACAGAGTTGGCTTCTTTTTTTTTTTTTCCTTAAAGCTACAAAACGGCATGTGGTTTCCCAAATCAGTTTTCTTTTACTACTTTTATCTCCCTTGATCCCTGCTCCTACGGGCCCCTCACCCATAAGAAAATGACCTCATTTTGCCTTTACTGATTCTAACGGGAGAGCCATGCTCCAGTCATAAATTCCTGTCTCCAATGGCTGCAAGCTCCCCTGGCCCTCCATTCTTCTATCCTTTTTCAATCAGCACTCAATCCACAAAGGATTAATGTCCAGACCAAGGGCACATCTTAAACTGGGACCCTATGGCCATACACAGAACAGTAAAATCTCCGATACTACGTTCCCACCAGTCTGATGAACATGCACCACCAGCCTCTAAAACATCCCCCATGATGAATTTATGATGAATTTAAAGCCTGGCCAGTTTCAGACCCTTCTCGTAGGGAAAGCCCTTGGACCAACACCTACCACCATGTGGGTCTTGGAGAAAAGCAAAAGAGATCCTGATCCTCAAAGCTGATGTTCTAAAAGAGCGTGTCTAAGGCTTTCTATTCCCCACCATACAATGTTGGAGCAAGGGCAGCCATTCATGGCTGTGGGATACAGATGCCCCCTCGCACTATGAATGACATCCGTGAACACCACTGTGGAGCCTACACATCTGAAAATGTTACTGCTGAACCTTTAGGTTTTCACTAGCTGGCTCCACCTGATATTGATGTAGCCTCAGTCTGGGACACAGTTTTCTTACTCAATGCCAGGACACCTGGGTAATATGGCACCCACACTGTCATTTCTATCTGTTTGGAGTGTACCACTTTTCTTCCCCAGCACCACTAGCCGAGCAGATTACATTATCCTAAACAGCTGGTAGGAAAATAAAAAAGGAATGTGATTCTGCATTTTAGTGCCCACTTCTGAAAATTCCTCTACTGTAGTTATGATGCCCAACACATAGCAACTTGTGCCCTTGAACACACTTTCTACCACGGGCATCCTTGTGACAGCCTTTCTGACATCAGCCTATGCTTCCATGACCTGGGTCAAGAGCTGAACTTTCCCAGGGAGCCTGTCACAGCATTACAGGTGATGACCTGATCCTAGACAACCACCACATCTCAGAGAATGACTACCCAGTTACCCACATCATCTGCCAAGGTTCCCCTGTCAGAACACAGGGATCTTCCCCTCAGGGGATAGCCCACTCAGCATGTAGCATCCACTCAAAAGAGGTGAATACCAGACAGACCTCCAAACTTAACCCTTTCCTCCCCATTGGGCACAATAAACCCCATTACTACTGTAGCTAAACTTCCCCTCCTAAACCTCCTAAAGCAAGCCTCCTGCTTAAGGCCACCTCCAAGCTAGTCTGTATGTATACATGATCAAGGCTATATCCCAGAGGCCCAGTCACTGGGTACACTCGGCCCCTATGAGCAAGCCACTTCCTTATTCACACCATGCCAGATGACCCAAGACTCATGAAAAAGGGCTCCCCCACCACACCCACTAATATTAATGCTACTGGTCTAGGTCTCTAGGTCTTGCTCTGTCTTACCTAGGACCCAACAGGACATTGGTTGAATGTTACCAAGTTTGGTCCCTGGCCCATGAGTCCAGATCATGTAACCATTCAAATCCACATGCCTGTGTTGGTGTCTTCCCAGGCCCACACAGCATGATGGGAGCTCTCCACTGGCCCAGATAGTAAAGGAACGTGAGTGATTCGAAGCTACAGAAGGAATCTGGTCCTCCAGTGTCCCTCCCCTAGATAACTCGCTCCCGATGTCCCAACTCCTTAACTCACCCGCACACTCTACTGACTCCACTGATTTTCTTAACCTTTTCCAGCCACCCCATGAGGGGACCCTGCTGGTCACAATCCCCAGCAGAAATGGTGAGCATTTCCTTATGCATGGCCCCGGATATAAAAGTGAGACCTTGAGGCTAGAGGAGTGGGACTTAGGGCTTGATTACATAAGGAATGTATTATAGCAGATGCAGCAGAGGAAATGTCTGAGGTTCTGTTGGAATCCTGTGACGTTCACGGTGTAACATAAACAGTGGCAGCACTTGAGGCTTTCACTGAAGGGCAAAAATCCTAACTGCCAGGATGGCAGATGACAGACTAGCTCTAGATGACCTTACCACTGTAATATATGTGCCCTCAAAGAGGAGGAGTATGTGTCCTCAAGGGAATTTCCTGCTATGTGTGGATAAGCGATGCAGGCAAAGTCATCTAAATAGCCCAGCAGATGCGCCATCAGACCAAAACCAAATTTTATATGAAGTACCTTGAAGTCTCTGGTTCCTGAACGTTTCCTGCCTCTTGGGATGACCTGCTCTAGGGACCCTCCCACCAGAAAGTGGACCTCACATACTGAACTGGTTATGTAAAGTCAGTACAGCCCATAGTCAAATATATTAATAAGAGACCACCTGAAATTAATCTCTCTTCTCCATCACCTCCTGGCATTTTTCAGCAGGTGGGCTCCTGTCCTATATCAATGTCCCCAGGACCAGGCTTTCTCTCCCTGAAGAGGTTAGGGAGTTCTCTTGTCAGGGGGCTGCTCACCTAGGGATTTCCCCTCACGTTGCCAATGTCTGATTAGGTAATAAACCTTTGAGTCACTTGTGATCACAGCCAAGGGGTGGTGTGTTTGTTTGGACAGGCAACACCTTTAAACAAGTGGGAATGGCAGACAGGTTGTCGAGTTGAATCATAACAATATTCCAGTGAAAGGAAATCTGAACCTGTCTTCATTCCATCACTACCCCAGAACCACACCTCCAACTCCTGACCCCACACCCAGACATTACTCAGGCTCTTTCCTGCCAGTCACACCTGCTTCACTCACTGGGTGCTTAGGACTACAGGCTTTGAAACCTCTGCTGTTTATCCCTACTCATTCCTCAGCTCTGTGACCTGTAGCAAGTTCCTTAGCCTTTCTGTGACCCAGTTTCCCCATCCATAAAGTTATGATCACAATACTTATTCCATTAGGGTGTTGTAAGGGATGTGAATACCCCACTCTAGATAAAGCCCACAGTACAAGTCTGACACAAAGGAAATACCCAGGTATTTATTCATCAAGGGTACCTCACTTTCTATTAATGCTTCCTCCAGAAAACTTTCCACATCTATTTCCACTCCAATTTCTCCTTAATCCAATTAATCCGATTCCATTTCTGTTCAACACCTTGTTGTGAATCATATATCTGTTCTCCATTACATATGCATTCACTTTGGCTTCCCAAGTAAGAGATAAAGTTCCTTGAGAAGGGACAACATTACTGGCTCACCTACTGATGTGCTGTGTCATCTTGCACTTAATTTTTTTAGGATTGAGTTTCTTTCCCTGGAATATGTGGCAAATATGTGGCATGTGTCCCAACATTTCCCCACCCCATAGCCTTGGAAGACACTAGTACTCAACAGTAATTCTGCTCCTCCTAACCTGTCTCCAAAGTCAGCATCCTTAGTGCAGTGCTTTGGACAGTGTCTAATAATGTATTCCGTAATTACGTGTTGAGTACTTACTAGGTACTATCCTTATTTAGTATTCTGGAGGTAAAACTTTGGGTGTGCTGTCGGCACACTTGTGGAACTTGTCACTTAATGGGGAAGAAAGAAAATGTGCAAATTCATAAGTGAGAAGATCTCAGATCGTTATCAGTACAGTGATGAAAATAAAACAGTGCTGTGTTAGTGTCTGGTGAGGAGGCAACTTTAGATTGAGTGGCCAGGGACTTTCTGAGGCCCCAAGAGATTCTGATCTGGTAGATTTGGTGTGGGCCCCAGAATGTGTGTTGTTAACAAGCAAATGTAGGAAATGGCAACCCACTCCAGTATTCTTGCCTAGAAAGTTCTAGGTACAGAGGAGCCTGGTGGGCTACAGTCCATGGGATTGCAAAGAGTCAGACAAGACTGAGCGACTAAGCACAGTGTGGTAAGAGTGAATGTCCGGAGTCAGAAGAACTTACATCCATTTCCTTACTTACATACTTGTGTGACTTGAGCAAGTTATTGAATTTCTGTGACTCTCAATTTCCTTATCTATTAAATTGAAGTATTACTACTACTCATCTCAGGTTATATTAGTATTAACTAAGATAAAATATATAAAATTCCTGGCACATAGTGCATGCTCAATAACAGGCAGCTAATAATTACAACAATGGGCCCATCTACTCCTAATTATAATCTTCAAAAAACAGACCCAACAAGTACCATTTAGGAGGTATTGAATATAGCCTTTAGTTGATTTTTGCCTAATGAAACTCTTCCCCTTGAAAAATAAATTCTCAAAAGACCTTCCTGTGAGCAGGACTGTCAGAGTCCAGTGAATATATATTCCCTGACACTCTAGTTGAGGCAGGTTTCAGGTTTGGAAGGACTTTGGCCTAATTTCCTCTCCTGTCAAGTGGGAGCCTGGCGACTTGCCTTTCTAATCCGGTGGGCAGGGATGGGGGGATTTCTGAGACCTGGAGGGACGTGAGATTTGCAAAGTATAAGGCTCAAACAGGACACTTGCCTTCTCAGAACAACTGGCCCATCCAGCTGAAAGGCCCAACAGCAGCGGTAAGCTCTGCTCCTGCGTTGCTGGCCCCCACTCACTTAGAGAAGGGGGCCACTCCTCCACATTAAAAGCTGAGCTGGTACATAACGAAGGGAAAAAAAAAAAAGCTGGGCAGGAAGCAGCCTTTTCAACCAGTGAAGAAACCGTTAGAATCCATCCCTTTGCCCCGATGCCAAAGCCCAACTTGCCCCACCCAGCCACACTATCAAGGACACTCAGGCCATCGCAAAGCCCTGGAGGTATTTGTCCCTAGTTTATCAGGGACCTGTGAAAACATTTCCCTAACTGAAGATAAAGAGCTCTTTCCCCTTCTCCCTCCATTCTACTTCTAACTACCTGCCAGAGAGTTCCTCTCCTTTTCTTTCAGTAACACTGACTCTGAAAAGAAGCTGTTTTTAACCCTGGACTTGAAGTAACTGGTGGAGAGGCAGGTAAGAGCATTTTATTCATTCATTCCTTCAGTAAGTAATTATTGGGTGCTTAATACATGCTGGGCTAGGCTCTTGGATTCAGTTCCAACGCAGAAGGAGCCTGCAGTGTTTGGGGGAACCCAACAGTACTTAACAACCACAAAACGTAGAATTATCCATTGTGATCCAAACTGTCAATGAGTAGATAAACAGCAAAGCCTGACTGAATAGCACAGGGAACTATTTAGTATCTTATAATAACCTGTAATGGAAAAGAATCTGGGGAAAAAAAAAAACTGAATCACCTTGTGGTATACCAGAAACTAATAGAGCACTGTAAATCAACTCTACTTAAATAAATAAAAAGGAAAAAATATTAAAAACAAAAAACTTGGGAGTGGGGTCATATAATGATGGGTCCTAATACAGTCATGATGGGCTGGGGGCTTTCCTGCTGAAGTAATGTTTGAGTTGAGAGAGTGTGTATATAGTATAATCTTCTAGATTTCACTCTTGCCCTCCCAGTGGGTGTTTTCAGGGTTAAAAAGCTGCCTCAGGGGCGGGAAGGCTTGCTGCCATGCCTTGCTTGTCCTGTTTTTGGGACCAAGTCACGATTCCTCAACTCTGGTGAAGGTTAGGATGGAAATGACTTATTGGAGTGATGGAGAGGCCAGCATAAACCTGCCAGGACCTCCTTCAAGATTCAGTTCACTTTGCAAAAGTTGCCAGATAAAAGATATTTCCAGATGGAGAGCCATGCAGGAAATACAAATGGAAGAGTTTTTAACAGCTCATCCTTTGCAGGCTATGACCAAGGCAGTTTCAGCAGCATGATGGGAAGGACTGTAGCCTAATAGCATGGGAAGAGCTGAACTGGCCCACGAGCATTCCAGGGGCGTCTGGAGAGAGACTGTGCCCTGAAGGGGGCATTCAAGATGCTCTACTATGGGACCACCCCCCAACCCCCAATCCTGCCACCACCACTCCATGTGGAGTCTGTGTCTGCTATATGCTAACCCTCGGTTTCTCAGAGGAGAGGGCAGATTGGAATCTATGAGAGCATGAGTCCCTTTAAGGAGGAGGCTGTACATAATAACAAACTGTCCCCTTTTCCCCTGTCCTTGAGGCCTAGTGGGCCTGCAAAGAAGATCATCTGGAAGTCAGGGACCAGCACTGCTGACGGGGGCCTAAGTGGGCAGGGATTGCCACTGGGGGACCCAAAGAATGTCTCAGAGTTCATGCAACATGCCTCACTGTAACCTTGTGTGTGTGTGTGTGTGTGTGTGTGTGTGCGCTAAGTCACTTCAGTCATGTCTGACTCTTTGCAACCCTATGGATTGTAACCTGCCAGGCTCCCTTGTCCATGGGATTCTCCAGGTAAGAATGCTGGAGTGGGTTGCTGTGACCTCCTCCAGGGGATCTTCCCAACCCAGGGATCGAACCCACATCTCCTACATCTCTTGAATTGGCAGATGGGTTCTTTACCACCAGCACCACCATAACATTGGATGTTGTTAAATATATCCATGGATGAACCTGAGAAGGTTCCAATCTCCCTGAAATGAAAGGTAAAATTCTGCACCTTGGACAGCTGTGCACCTAGGGAAAGGTCTTTAACTTTTACCAGGTTTTGTGTGTGTGTGTGAAAAATATACATGGCATATATTTACTATTTTAACCACTCCCAAGAATATAGCTGAGTGGCATTGAGCACATTTACACTGTTGTGCAACTGTCACCCACTATCCATCTCCAGAAGGTTTTTTATTCTCCCCAAACTGAAACATGATATCCATTGAAAAATAACTCTCCTCTCTCCCAGCCCCTGGCCACCCGCATTCTACTCTCTGTCTCTATGAATTTAACTACTCTAGGTACCACATATGAGTGGAATCATACAGTCTTTATCCTTTGGTGACTGGCTTGTTTCACCTAGTATAACGTCCTCAAGTTTCAACCATGCTGTAGCATGTGACAGGATTTCTTTTTTAAGGCAGACCTTACTTCTTTAAGAATGAAAGTCACTTATGAGGTGGCAAGATAGTGTGCACACATTTTATGCATATTTATTTATTAGGTATATACCCAGAAGTGGAATTGATGAATCATATATTAATTTATTTTTAATTTGTGCAGAACCTACCTATACCATGAATTATATATTACATTAATATATTACATATATAATATATATTATATATGTGTGCCTAGTCACTCAGTTGTGTCTCTTTGCAACCCCATAAGCTATAGCTTGACAGGCTGCTCTGTCCTTGGGGATTCTCCAGGCAAGATTACCAGAGTGGGTTGCCATGCCCTCCTCCAGGGGATCTTCCCAATCCAGGGATCAAACCCAGGTCTCCCGCATTACAGGCAGATTCTTTACCATCTGATCTACCAGGGAACCCCAAGAACACTAGATTGGGTAGCCTATCCCTTCTCCAGGGGATCTTCCCAATCCAGGAGTCAAACCAGGGTCTTCTGCATTGCAGGCAGATTCTTTACCAGCTGAGCTACCATGGAAGCCCATATGTTATATATTATATATAAGTGTGTGTGTGTGTGTGTGTGTGTATATATATATATATATATATATATATATATATATATACATTCCCACCATCAGAGCACAGAATTTCCAATTTCCCCACATGTTTGCCAACACTTGTCATTTTCTGTTTGGGGGATAATAGTTGTCCTAATGGATGTGAAGTGTACTTTATTGTGGCTGTGTTTTGCATTTCTCTGATGATTATTATTTCTGAACCTCTCTCTATCTGCTTATTGGCCATCTGTATATCTTCTTTAGAGAAATATTTCTTCAAGTCTTTTGCCCATTTTTTAACTGTTTTTTTTTTTTTTTTGCTGTTGAATTATAGGAGTTCTTTAAATATTCTGGGTATTAACCTTTTATCAGATATATGATTTGCAAATATTCTCTCCCATTCCATAGGGTGCATTTTCACTCTAATACTGTCCTTTGATACACAAAAGTTTTTAACTTGCAGTCTAGTTTGCCTGTTTTTCATTTTGTAACCTGTGACAAGAAAAGGTGTCATCTTCAAGAAGTCATTGCTAAATACAATGTCACGTAGTTTTTGCCCTATGTTCTCTTAGAAGAGTTTTATAGTTTTGAGTTGGCAGGTTCTTAAAGAGGTCTATGACTGACAATGCATGGGCCATCCGCAATATTGTTTGTGGGGAGACCCTCACATCTTGACGAATGTCAGTGTGAAGCTAGGATTTGGGCAATTGAAAACATGGTGGTGATATGTGAAGTCTTTAATTCAAAAGGAATTATTGAATATCTCCAAATTTAGTAAAAATGAAAATTATGATCTCTCTTCTCTAAGAACATAAGTCACTTATGAGATGGCAAGATGGTGCACACACATAAAATCATGGCTCTGCAAGGCAGAGTCTAATGAGCACCTACCCAGGCCCCAGAACCAAGAGCTGGAAGGAGTTGAGTTCATGGGACAGAGAAACCTTCAGTGCAGAGATGTGGCTTGAGTGGGCTCCAGGTTGATCTGGAGACAGATCAACAATCTGGAGAGGCAGAGAAGACTGGGGAGGATTTTGTACAAACTGCAGGATGATTGCTATTTACCAATAGCTCTCAATACCAATACCAAGCACTCACTGTGTGCCGGGATCTGTGCTCTGCCTGCTGCATACATTATCTCAGCCATGCCTCTTCACCCTATATTTATCATGGCCTCTGTTTTATCACTGCAGGCACTGAAGCACAGAGATTTGCCTAAGATTAATTACCCAGATAGTAAGTTGTAAAGTGGAGACTAGAAACCAGGTTTATTAATCTCTATTCTTAACCCCTCTACAATTCTAGCACCAAAGTTTTGGAGCACAGACAAAGCAGACATTCTTGATGGAAAGAACAGAATAAAACAGTGCACAGAAATGGGCATGAGCTGGATGTCTGAGGTCAAAGGGGAGCAGTCTGGCTGGTGGGAAGAGTCAGGCTTTAGGGGTTTGGGATATGAAGTTGATTCAATGGGATGGGCAGGGTCACAAGCATCTTTCATGGAATCATTGAGTTTGTCTTGATCTTCTAGAAGGACAGAATCTCACATAGAGCTGCAGCTCTAACCTTCCAGGGCACCTCTTTCTTCTATAAAATGAGAGCATCAAGATCCCAAAAGGTTAAGCTACTTGCCAATGATCATAGGCAATAAGGGAGTCATTGCAAATTTTTGAGCAGGGTGGTGACAGTGAAGAAAAGAGTAGTCCAGATGGGACTGGCAGCCAGATACATGAGGGGTAGCTGAAGGGAAGCAGAGGAAATTGGCACTAAGAAGCAAGCAGCTCTTTCCCTGGTTTTGGCTGAAAGATATCTCCCTTAGCTACAGATATTTCCAGGAGCATCACACATAAGACTCCTTTCCCCTGAGGTCTGGAGCTTAGGAAGTCAAGTGTCACCAGGAAGGTCAGACTCCCTTCCCCTGCCAGTCTCAGGGCCCTCAGCTAGACACAAATGCCATAAAACACTGCTTCCCCAGAAGCAGCCCACCCCCTCCTCCAATGGAAGGTCTATCCAGAGTGAGATGTCTCAGACCAGAGACCCCCAACTCTGAAGAACCAGTGACCAGGACAGGCTCCTGACGCCATCTCTTTTTGTTGCCTACCTGAGTATGAAGCTGGGCCAGCTGTCTGTGAGTCTAACCCACCTGCCCCATGGGGGTTGGGGGTTGCCCATGCTGGTGAGATAAGGCAAGAGTCCCCCAGGCAAGGAGGCTGACTCCACCTGCTTGGACTGAGCCCTTATATTGTAACATAACTCCAGTTATCCACCTGTGTGTCAAGAAAGGCCTGCCCTGGTTGACTATCCTCCTCTGAGGTTCTCTTAGCTTCATTAATTCTAATAATAGCCGCCATCCATTGAGCACTGTGCTAAGCATTTGACATGCATGATCTCATTTTATTCCTCCAACACTGTGATGAAGATATAATTATCCTCATTCTACACGTGGCGGAACTGAGGCTCAGAGCTATCAAATGATTTG